ATATTATTAAAAAAATATATACAGCCATGACAGCATGGTCAAATATTATTAAAAAAATATATACAGCCATGACACCATGGTCAAATATTATTAAAAAAATATATACAGCCATGACACCATGGTCAAATAATATTAAAAAATATATACAGCCATGACATCATGGTCAAATATTATTAACAAAATATATACAGCCATGACACCATGGCCAAACATTATTAACAAAATATATACAGCCATGACACCATGATCAAATATTATTAACAAAATATATACTTCCATGACATCATGGTCAAATAATATTAAAAAAATATATACAGCCATGACATCATGGTCAAATAATATTAAAAAAATATATACAGCCATGACATCATGGTCAAATATTATTAACAAAATATATACAGCCATGACACCATGGCCAAAGATTAACAAGATATATACAGCCATGACACCATGACCAAACATTATTAACAAAATATATATACAGCCATGACACCATGACCAAACATTATTAACAGAACATAAACATACATGGTATTATGACAACACCAGTTTATTAAAGAATATTACCATGATTAAACAATCATGCCCGCATATGAAAATCGATTTACTTACCAACAAAAACTGTGAACCATTTATTGTCAATATTAAATATAATGTAAATACACAGATAGCGAGAATGTATTGTAATAGACTTGGCCAGCTCAGAACTGACCTTTGTTCATTAGTCTCATGTATTTCAACGACCTGTTCCATTGTTATGCAGCATTTAGATTGATATATATATCTACACTGATATTTGTTGTTGCTGTAACATTTATTGGCCTCTGTTATTAAATGTAAATTATAACATGAGTGAATTAAATTGAACTTTTGACTGACTGTTGTAAAGTACAAGAATTGTTCACTATCACTTATAAACTGTATAAAATCTTACATGCTGAATTCGAATGAAGACAATTTGTATGACAGCTAATCCAATAAAATGATGAAGTATGATGCTTATAATACCTGAAGTTGTGTTAAGTACGTATGATAGTATATTTTAGGCTATAACGAAACATGAGTTTTAGATAAGCATATTGTATAGTTCATGTTACCAAATCATTGTTAAAGGCCCTCTTACGATGTTCGTTTGGATAGCTAATAAGTTTAAATAAAATTTTGAAAGATAAGGAAATAGAATTTCTGATTTGTAGAAATGGAAGAGTTATTTGGTTAAGGCGAACACAATGTCAAACTTTCTAATCATGTCATCAGTAATACGTGATCACATGACAACCTTTGTATATTCTAACAAACAGATGTCTTGTTTTCAGTGCCCACCCCATTTGTATGTGTCACCATGCGACAACCATTGTATTTCATATCAAACAGTAGTCTTGACATCAGGTAGCCTCGAAGTTTTATGTATAGAACATCAAGTAAATGGTAAGTGTTGCTATTTTAAATAATAGTAAGGTTAGAACAGTAAGTCGTTAATTTATTATGTTTAGCTGCAGCAAAAATAAATCATACATTTAGAATCAAATGAGCCTCCTTCCTTTTCAGGTTTATAAATGTATGTAAAGCAAATTATTGGTTGTAATAACTGCTTCATTCGAATAATGGATAATAAAACTTGATATAAATTATAATATTTGTCTTGTTAACTTGTGAAAGCGAAACAGCAGGTGTCCTGCGAACATTGTCTGCCTAAAGTAATCCTATCCTTAGTAATGATAACATCATCAGCTCATAGAAACACTTTAAAAAGTACATATGTGAAATTAGATATTTTGTCAAGAACGATAAAAATCAAAGATATATGGATAGTATAAAGACAGACTAGTGAAAGTGCATGATATTTAAATAAGTGTGCTTTTCAGGACAATAATTATAAAAAGTATGCTTAAATATAGAAACTAAAGCTATAATAAGTATGTTAAACTATATTAGTTTTAGGACATAATTAAATCTAGCCATTAATTACACGCCGAGATATCTATAATGATATCAACATGACAGCCTAGCAATGAGACCTCTGATTCCACTTAGTGGCATTTGTTTCTGGACAATTTCCGCCTGTCACGGCAGCCTAACAACATGAGTCTAGCAACACGCTCTCTGGTCAACATCCGTTGTCATGTTCTCCTGTAAAGGTGCCAGCGCCCTTTGGTTCCACTTCGTGAAACTATACACCTGGAAAAAAGTTAAGCACCCCCGTGTTTTTTTCAAGTGATTCAGATTCGACGTTCTTTTGACTGATTATAAATTACCATTC